CGCACACACAAAACGGAGACAAATGACTACTAGTACAAGATTACGATTAAATCGAAGCACACCAAGCTGATAAAGGTCTAACACAGCTCGATCTCAAGCAGCAGCGTGCCAGCACTATGGGAACAAGCCTAAAACCCCACACTCTAAAGCCAACGATTATACCAAACAAGGGGCCTCCTTCTAGCATCAGAATCTCGCAACTAAGCCGACCTTCCGCGACTCGTCCCCCAGAACGGAGCTCTGTGATTCCCGCGAGGAAACCGAGACCACACCGTAGCGCCCTGTAGGCCTGCTGCGCTAGCCATGCCAATCAGAGGACGCGCCACACGGACTCAAGAGGGGCGAGAGCGGGGAAGGGGAGGATACCTTCAATCAGCGGCCGGCGGCGCGGTCAGCGCCCTGTCGGCGGAGGCGTGGAGCTCGTGGGTGGCGACGCCGGAGCAGGAGGGAGGAGAGGGTTTGGGGGTTTAGAGTTGGTGGGGCCGAGAAGGTTTTGGGTAGGGACCCACATAGAGTATGCAAAGTTCCCTTTTTTTTAAATGATACTCCCTCCGTTAAAAAAAAATGTTTTGGACGACATTTTGCGAAAACCACCTCCAGTTTGGCATAGAATTATTTTTTAATATATAAAAAATATTGACGAAAAAATCAACAGAAGGGGGTCCACCACGCAGCCACAAGCCTCGGGCTCCCCCCTAGGGCGCGCCCCCTGAGTTTGTGGGGCCCTGGCAGGCCTCCGAAGCCCATCTTCTGCTATGCCATTTGACCTAGAAAAATGAGAAGGGGGGTTTCGCGACGAAGCGCCGCTGTCTAGAGGCAGAACCTTGGCAAGAGCACTTTTGCTCTTCGGCGGAGCGATTCTGCCGAGGAAACTTCCCTGAAAGGGGAAATCAAAGCCATCCTCATCACCAACGGTCCTCTCATCGTGGGAGGACTAATATTCATCATCTTCACCGGCATCATCTCATCTCAAACCCTACTTCATCTCTTGTATTCAATCTTTGTCTCAAGACCACAGATTGGTACCTGTGGGTTGCTAGTAGTGTTGATTATAGCTTGTAGTTGATGTTAATTGGTTTATTTGGTGAAAGGTTATATGTTCAGATCCTTAATGAGATTCAATACTCCTCTGATCTTGAACATGAATATGATTTGTGAGTAGTTACTTTTGTTCTTAAGGACATGAGAGAAGTCTTGGCATAAGTAATCATGTGAATTTGGTATTCGTTCGATATTTTGATGATATGTACGTAGTTGCTTCCTTTAGTGGTGTCGTGTGAACGTCGACTACATGACACTTTATCATCTTTGGGCCTAACGGAAGGCGTTGTGGAGTAGTAATTAGATGACCCCGCGGCAGGCGCCCCCCGTGCTATTTTCAAGTTTCCCTTATGGGGCAATATGACGTAAGAATCATCTGCTGGAACGTCCGCGGTCTCAACTCCCCCGCTCGTCGTGATGTCGTCCGCGACATGGTGCGTGACGCGCACGCCACCATCGTCTGTCTCCAAGAGACAAAACTGCAGTTTGTGGACGACTCCATCATCCGGGGCATGCTTGGCCCATGCTTTGTTGCAAACTACTTCGCCCTGCCTGCAGCCGGCACTCGCGGCGAAATGATTCTCGCCGTCTCCGACCGGTTCTTCTCCATGTCGGACCGCCACGCATCAACGGCCACCATTTCTGCCACAATCACCATGCTCAATGATAACGTCGCCTGGACTATCTCGTGCGTCTACGGCCCTCAAGGAGAGCAGGACAAGCTGGCTTTCATTGAGGAGTTGAGGGCTCTATCTGCCGTCTCTAGGAATGAGTGGATTTTACTGGGTGACTTCAACCTCATCACTAAAGCGACAGACAAGAACAACAGCAACATAAACCGCCGACTCATCGGAAAATTCAGGAGGGCCCTAGACTTCATGAAATTAAAGGAGCTACATTTATGTGGACGGAGGTTCACCTGGTCCAATGAACAGGCTAGTCCGGTCCTGACAAAGATTGACCACGTTTTCACTCCGATGACTGGGATATGCTCTTCCCAAATGCCCACCTCCAGGCCATCTCCACGGCCTTCTCAGACCACGCACCGCTATACCTTCAGGGATGTGTTGACAATCCAAGGAAGCCATCCTTCAAGTTCGAGGAGTTCTGGTTGCGCCTCCCTGGCTTCCACGAGGCCGTCTCCATGGCTTGGAACAAGCCCGTCCAGGCACATGACGCGATCTGTAGGATACACATCAAGCTTTGCAGGACTGCGAAGGCCTTGCGTATGTGGAAGAAGGAGAAGGTCGGTGTGCTTAACACCCATATCTCGGTGGCGAAAGAGATCATTGGGCGGCTAGATGTTGCAGAAGAGGGACGGACCCTCTCTGAGCCTGAAAGGGAGCTTCGGCGTCAGCTTAAGGCGTCCTACCTTGGTCTCCTCGCCATTCAGAAAATCAAGCTCAGGCAGCGTTCGAGACTAACCTGGATCAGGCTCGGCGACGCCACCACCAAGCTCTTTCACGCTCGAGCAAATGGCAGAAGACACAAGAACTTCATCCAATCCATCAGGACCAACACCGGGCTGGCGATTACCAAGCTCTCCTCGATCACTTCCAAGAGCACATTGGAACGGCCACGCAACGGATGAAACACATAGTTTGGGAGAACATCGGAATCCAACACCATGATCTTTCGGAGTTGGACGCCCCTTTCGACGAGGATGAAATTAAGGAGGCAATTTTTTCCTTACCTTCGGTCAAAGCACCCGAACCAGACGGTTTTATCGGTGTTTTCTTCAAGTCATGTTGGGGGGGTCATCAAGACCGACATCATGAATGCAATCATGCAACTGGCTAGCCTCCGCGGCGATTGCGCGGGCCTGATAAATTCGGCAAAAATTATCCTGCTGCCAAAAAAGGCAAACACCACCTGGATTGGGGACTACCATCCAATCAGCCCGATTCATAGCATATCCAAGATCTTCTCCAAGCTGTTGCAAACCGTCTAGCTCCGATGCTCCCCGCGCTAGTCTCCAATTGTCAGAGCGCCTTCGTGAAGAAGCGGTGCATCCATGATAACTTCTTGGACGTTCAAAACTTGGTGAAGGAGCTGCATCGCACTCAAACGCCCGGCCTCTTCCTCAAACTGGACATCTCAAAGGCTTTTGACTCCGTGGGCTGGGCCTACCTGCTGGAGGTGCTTCAGCAACTCGGGTTCAGTCAGCGCTGGCGGGACTGGATTTGCATGACCCTCGCAACATCTTCCTCCAGGATCCTGTTGAATGGGGACCCGGGCACCCCTTTCGCTCATGCATGCGGCCTGTGTCAGGGTGACCCCATATCTCTGATGCTATTCATCCTGGCCATCGACCCTCTCCAGCTTATGCTCCGTGCGGCCTCCCTGGAGGGGATCCTCAAGCCGATCAAGGCTCGTTCGGCTACCTGCAGAGTCTCCCTCTATGCCGATGATGCTGGCATCTTCGTCAATCC